GGCCCAGAAGGCTAACCGACCAGTCCGGTCTGGTAAGTACATTTGTGTTCTGTACTTGCCTGGCGAACAACGCGGCCGGATCGGTTCAGACGACTTTGAGATTCATTGAAGCTGTGTCATTTGCCGTTTGCCAGCGCCAGAACCACGTCGACTTGACCGGAAGCCAAGGGACCTCTGCCGACTCCAGCCGACCGATTCGTGATGGAGTTTAAGCCGATCACCGAGTACCCCGACCTCACGGGTCATACCATTTGGACAAGAAAAATGCGCACCCTCTTCCGTCGGCTCGACTCCAACGGGCACGGATACGTGTGTGTGGATGACATACTTGAGGTCATCACCCAAATGATGGGCACCTTTCCGAAAATGGCCACATGGAGGAGCGACGAGGTGGTGCAAGCTCTCATAGACTTCTGGTACAGTTGTCTTTGTCCGATGGGGGAGGAGCACGCACGCACAACGGCCCACTTGAATGAAAATGCCTTCGTCACCAACCTGGAACGCTCAATGAAGGTGGGTGGCATTCTTCGCGATCGGTTCGATCAAATTCTGGTTCATCCGCTCTTCCATTCGGCCGACGGGGACGAGGACAATCTGATCAATTTGACCGAGTTTGCGTCGCTCATGAAGGCTCTCAAGTCGCCGGACAGAGATGCCGATCTGGTGGCCAAAATCGCGGACACCGAGAAGAACGGCAAACTGACTGAGGCTCAGTTTCACGGGATTCTGGCCGACTTCTTCGCCTCTGAGGATCCGAAGAGTAAATACCTAAAACTCTGGGGCAATCTGGTCAACTACAAACGACCCGAGGACTACGGGACGATTGAATGCGGTCCCATGTGGGAGGGCAAGATGCGCACCATGTTCCGTCGGCTCGACATAAACCGGTCAGGTCGTCTTCGTTGTCACAACCTTCTACAGATCGGCAGGTCAATTGCGCAACGCAACCACTTGGACAGACGCCGATCGGACGCTGTGATGAGAGCCATGCTGACGATTTGGGTAAAGTTCATCGCATTGGACAAAGAAGGTGAGCAATACCAATAAAGTACAAGGTCAGGCAGAGAAGAGGCCCCGGTTGCCTTGACATTAGGTTTCCCTATAAAGCGATTTGAGGCTGTCGACCGGAAAGTAGGACTCATTCTTTTTTCTAGTTCCAGCTTGAAATACACTCGGGATCACGTGTTGGGCAACACCGATCGTAAAATGAAGATCACGCAAATGGTCTCTTGTCTCCGGCATAAAGTTCATCTGATCCACTGAAAACGAGCTTCCAGTCAATGGCGGACCATTCAATGTGGGGACTTGAACATGGCCTTGAGCTCACAGTTTAGGGCATTTCAAAACGAACGAATGAGTATTGCGAGGTAGACATCTGCTGTCAATAATCACAAGCATAATGCTTCAAGAAAGTTGTCATGCTTTCAGTATTGCCTTTGTGGCAAAAGCCTTGATCAAGAGTCTCTAAACATAGCATAGGCAAAACGGCTAATTTAAAAAGTAATTTGCCTTCTTAATAATTTTGTTTTATCATTTTAAATATCATATAACATCGTAAAACTCTGCCTAATAATTATGACCTAATCGGCCTTTTTTTTAAAAGCTTCGAAATAATTCTACTTCGGACTTTGGCGAATCTGTTTGTATATTTTGGTGTTTTTATTCTTTCTGAATGGATATTATAACTTGGCACGAACATGTGACAAATTTAATAATTTGGGAACTCAGTAGCAAATGAAGAAAAATTTGCGAAATTCATTTTATAAAATTTTAAATTATATCCTAGCGTAACGAGAATTCTTATTTGAAATAGTTTATAACCCAGTAACCTAAGTCACCCTTGCCTTTCCAGAAGGATTATTTTATTTTCAAAATTATTTGAAGCAATAATGGCGTAAAGATCCTCTTCAGCTGTTCCCGTTGTGATTAAGAGGTTATTATTTCGTCTTTTTTTACAATCTCACTTAACAGGAGTGGATTGTCCAGCTGTGAAAAAGTACAGTTTTTGTTACCCTTTTCTAAGACTCTCAGTTTCTGCTGCGTTATTGAACAGAACAGATTGCTAGCAACTTTTTTGTCTTTGCACATGGACAAATGCAGTTTTAGTACTTTCACTATTATTGAAGTTTTTAATAGGCATCTTCCTGTGACATTTAGTTGTAATGTTAATGGAGAAACATATTTAAGCTTGGTTGATGTATTTATAATAATTAAACTTTTTGTATCTTCAGATAGTTTCCTACTCTGACAACAAACTGCCAGCAACTCTGCTGACAGGTGTCTCATATAATATTGCTCACTGCGAATTCATTAAGATTCTGTTGCCAGGTGGGATAGACTTAACGTTTGACTCTCCCTGGGATGCGCCGTTACCTCACGAAGAATTCTCCCCAAAGAACACCTCCAGCATACATGATTAAAATTGCTGTGACACTGACGAATGGCATCGAGTTTGCCGACCATTCATATCCCTTTCTCTATCACATAATAACTGGTACAGAAATGTAAACAACTTCTTAAACCCGCTCTGAGTGACCAAGGTTTGTTCAGATTAATTTAGTCCTATTTTTAGCCTGCCTGGTAATATCAGTGATGCATCTGTTGATGGTTCGTGTAAGCCTTTGGCCAGCTGGAAACTAGCAGTGGGCAGCCTGTCGAACGGATATTCGATATAACTTTAGCTAAAGTTGTGGAAACAGAAATCGGTTAAAAGAGTATCTATAATAACAATTACTTCTACCATGGTACCATTGTGAAGAATGAAATAATAATTCAAGCAAATCAAATGGAAACGGCTGGCCATGATTATAATAACTTTAGCTGACATCCTATGTATTTTGCTCCACCATGATCGCGTCGAATCAAGGATTACCCCATTTTCACCTGTAACCTGTTAATCGAGACTCAATAAAATGTCGATATTTTAAATTATTTGGTCTTGTTTTAGCAACCCAATAGTGTTCTTTTTTTAGCTTTCCGTAACCTATAACTAACAGCCCAGCATGGGATAGCTGAACTGGAGCATTCACATACGTTTTGCCGGCATCTTCAACGAGCAAAGAAGTCCTCGAAGGAAATGAAAAATTGTAATTCTTCGACAATGCCAACAATGCTGTGGCCGGGACTATACCTAGCCAACGGTCTTCATTAAGACACAAAAAGTTTCCTATACTAGCCGAATTCGAGTTGATCTAATTAAAGGATAGTGTAACCTAAGTAAATTTCGCATCGTCTTAGTCTTATTATATTTGTAGTATTGATAATAAAATCCTCAGATAAACCAAGATGTCATAGGTCGGCGAATGAATAATAAGTAATATTTCACAAATTATGAAGGAGAATACTTTTTTTTCTTGCCATATTGGATGAACATAACACTTTGCAACTCAGTAAATATGTGAGGTCAGGTTAAAGTTTGTCTTATCGAAAAACTAAAGAAGAGGGCTTCGCCAATTTGATTGCTGAGTTATGTATACAAGTCTACGGAACACATTTTTTCAAGCTCAATGAATCCATGCATAGTGTACCTGTGTTCTACTTTGATAGACGTCTTCAAAATGGGAACACAGATAGGCAATGGTGACTTAACTGCCTCTTCCTTAATGGGCTAAATGTACAGGAGAATTCCCCCCCAAATAGGCCTTTCCTTCTATCCCATATGAATAAGCATTATGGTTCTCCTC